CATTTATACTAATCAAAGAATAACAATACCTCAGTATAAATTAAAGACTGCACTCAATATATTTAAATATATGAAAAAATTTAAAAAATCAAAAAAATTGAAAAAAATAAAAAAAAATCATGATTTTTTATAAAAAATCAAGTGATTTAATCACATGATTTAATCATTTTGATTTAATCATTGCCAACCCTATGGGTAAATGAGGAAATTAAAAATGAACTGATTCTAAAAAATCTCTGGTTTGTCAGTTGTCACTATGGCCTATGGGTAGGCTACCTAGTAAATGTATGATTTCATAACTTGCTTTATAGTTTATGCTATATACTACGTACAATTCGTACATAGATAGGAAAAATGTTGAAACTTCACGCCACTATTTTTAGTTTTGTAATATTGCAGTTAGTTTAGCTGCTAGGCCTATCCTGCTACTGCCAGTGCCAGCCTACTGGTAGTGGTAGCGGTAGGCGACAGTGCGACTAGGCGGTATTCTGGTACAACATCTACAAAATGTCAGACAGAGGACTGTACAGTCTGTACTCACTGTCCCTTATTACTCTGCCCAATGGTGCCCATCCAATCCATTATTACCCCCTTTGACGCCTGACGGTACAACGTACACATATTCAATACAACAAATATAGAAAATAAGAATTTAATTGGACTATTTGGCTCGGCCCTCAGATGGGCAGCCCGAGTGGGTCTTGCCCGCTATAAAATCTTTCTATTGTGTTATGTAGCCTCAGTATTAGGCCTTTAATGCCCATTGACAAAATTTTTCTATGTCAAATAGTTTTTTAGTTGTGGGGGTTTTTGGTAAAAAAACGAAAAGTGGTCTAAGTTACCCCGCCGGTCTAAGTTACCCCATTTTACGGTAGTGTTCTAATTCCAAGCTGTGTTGTAATCCAAATTTCCAATACAGCTTACACAGCAATCGGAATTTGAACACAAGAGTGTCGGAATTACGAATTAGTAGAGTTTGAAGCGCGGCCGGACTTAGTCTCACAAAATGCCGAATTTAGTCACACACAGTGTCGCACTGTGTCAGAATATATGGATTTGGTAGGTTTGCATTCTAAAGGCTTTTAAATAAATATGGCAACATTTTGTGATGTTTCATTGTTGCTGGTGTGTAGCTCGGTGTTTGGAGAGTGACGTAAAGCAAACAGAACTCGAGTTGCACGTACAGTGATTTTTTTTATAGCCATTCATTTTTTCTACATCCTTAAAGTGTCGGAATATACTGCATTCACCCTGTGCTGGACTGGAATTCTCTTACTTGATTCTTTAATATCGCGGCTCTAATGTAACAAATTTTTAATACATTTAGAAGCTTGCGTCCTGATTGTCACTTTTTTTAATAATTAGATAGGAGGTAATTTGTCTGGCAGGAATCTTGCAGTTCCGGAAATGGTGGGAAAGCTCAAGTCACGTTCCTGAAGGTAGACATTTTCCACAAGGAACAGTATGTGGATCATAATGGATGGCTAAAAAGGGCACTTATTGCCTTCAATAATGACCAACAGGCTGAGGTGGTGTTTACCAGTTTGAATTTTTGGGTAAAAAATTATTGATAAGTCTATTCATGAGCTTTGTAAAGTTTGTATGGAGCAAGGTAACAAGCTAAATATTGACCATCCTAGAGGTTAGCATAGCATACCATTTACCTATAATACTTATGTTTTGAAAACAATATCTGGAAGATGGGGGATGTTAGCTCAGCTGCAACACACTGTTATAGTCGTTCTCGGAGGAGGGAGTAACTGTGACAGTGAATTCCGATCGCTATGCTGCAATGTTGCAAAATTTCTTGCAGCCAGGATGGAAAACATTGTTGAAAATGAAGCATTGGGAGACATGTGGTTTCAGCAGGATGGGGCTACAGCTCACACAGCCCGAATGTCATGCAATGTTTTGAAACGCATGTTTCCCGGACGTCTGGTGTCTCTGAGGGGTGATTTACAGTGGCCTGCAAGGTCACCTGATTTGAGCATTTGCAACTTCTTTTTTTGGGGACATCTAAAAGAAAGAGTGTTCAAAAGTTGCCCTCACACCCTGCCACAGCTAAGGGGACAGATTATTGCAGCAGAGCCTATGGCGATACCTTGCCATATGTGTGAATGTGCTGTAGGAAACTTCTGAGAATGACTCCAACAGTGTGATGCAGCTAACAGACACCATCTTCCTGATATTGTTTTCAAAACATGAGTATTTTAAATGGTATGTTAGTGTTACCTCCATTACTCTTTTATTTTGCCTCGAAACTGCTCAATTGGTTCTGCCCCACCCTGTATAAGCTAGCTAACACATTTAAATTGTATATTGTAATCAATACCTATATAAAAAATAGTCAAATAGTTAAAGAATACTTATAGCCTTATAAGAATTAGCTAAGCTGCTAGCTATGTACAATGTATTGCAACACTTGATGCCTCTGTACCAAAAACATTCACTTTATTGGAACCTAATACACACTAAAGGCAACAAGTTTATATATGAATTTGGCATTCATAGTACATTCATACTAAACCAAGAATAACAATACCTTGAAATAAATTAAAGACTGCCACTCAACATATTTAAATATATAAAAAAAATCATGATTTTTATAAAAAAATCAAGTGATTCAATCACATGATTTAATCATTTTGATTTAATCATTGCCAACCCTGCACAATGAACGCATCAATGAACAGCTAAAGGAGCAAGGATTGCAAGAGGCCATCTGTGCATGCTATCCAATCTTACAAGAGGTTGTTTGTGCAAGACCTACACAAACTACTCTTGAGAGAGACCGTTCGCGGCAGACTTACTAACTGCTCTTGAAAGTTGACACAGTAATGTATGATACAGCAAGCTCTGTTATACAGTGCCTAGGGACATTGCTGAGAACGTAGGACTTCTGTGTACCTAAGACCCTTGTTGAAAGGGAACGATGTTGAGTTGATGAAGTGACGAAATAAATTAGGGTCTTTCTCTTTATTTTTTGCAAGTCTGCAATGTAGTTTTTTTGGTGTAGTTACTTGCTTTTAATATTAGTGTTGGCAGCAGACTACAAAAGCAGATCAGTGGTCAAGATCTCTTATTTGCAGGCAATGCGCTCTTTCTTTTGACCATAATATCAGCCCCCAAGTTATAGATTGGGTCAGAAACTACATTTTTCATGTTCACATAAATTGTTCACGCTGCATGCTAAGAAATTTGCACTCGATGAATTCTGTTCAAAATGCTGACTAGTGTGCTACACTAGGTACATGGTAACAGACTAATTTTTCATACAGAATGTCATCCATGAAGGGCATTTTTTATAAAGTAAAATTGAATGAATGGAATGAACACTGAACAGCCCTCCCAACATTGATGCAGTGTAAAGGACAGCAACTACCAATCGCGAAATTCAATCTTAGTGTAAATTCACTGAAATATGGTAGCTAGGAGAAAGATATATTCCCGCGGGTTATGTTTATTTCTGTACAAAAGCTATACTGTATTTTAAATTTTTAATTTAACATTAAAGAAAGGCAAAAGTTGGAGGGTTGGTTCCCCTTGAATTTGAGGCTTTCTCTACTATACCTCACTTAGGCACTATTCACACAAAAACTGCAATAACCTTGCCATGCTATGGCAACTTCAGTGTACCCTCCGTCAATATTGTTGGCAACTTAAAAGTAGGTACTATGTACTGCACCACTCCCAATGAGTCTCAAGAACTTCCATTTTATTATATATGATTGGGCAATAAGAAAGACTTTTTTCTCAAAAGTCTAAAAATAAGTTAAGCCTGCACAAGTGTTACACATTTAATTTTTAGCTTATTTGCATTTCAAAATTTGATATATTCTGGTGGGTTTTCCAAAAGTGGCAACTTATGTGGCATTGACAGTAATTTATAAGTTGGTGCTGAAAGCCTGAAAGTCCAAACTGGAAAATGGAGCAGGAGCTATTCATGAATCAGACAAAAATTAATTGCCCAGGCTGTAAATTAGAGCCTGTTAGAGCAGCTCCAGATATCAGCGTCTTTGGAGCATCTTCATCAGCCACCTCAATCTTACATTGGCATCTTTGGAGGATTTTCATTATCCACCTTGACCATACATTGACATCCAATGGGAACTGAAAGTGCTGTATTCATCTTTCAACTGAGTTGAAATCACTGTCTTCATCTACAAGCCCTTCCTTGGAATAAAATTTTCACCTGGAGTACAGGGCAAGCAAAATTGTCACATTTTCTATTTACTTTTCATAAGATTTCAAAGGGCTTGCAAAGACCTGAAAGTTTGTACGCTCCTGTAGTAATCTATCTTCCATTTTTAGTAAATTGTCTTCCATTGGATGTTCTGGTTTCAACTCCACACTGTTTATAAATTGTAGTAAAATAATATGAAATGTGAGTGGAACCTCATCGCTATCCATAGTGCAATTCTATAGGTAATATCAAAGAACATGGTCTTATGACTTTTCAACATCATTTTCAGGGATTTAAGAGCTTGCAAAGAGCTTATTCACATTTAAGAGCTTGCAAATGTACAATTTTTAACTTCCTTTATGCTACATAGATAGGAAAAATGTTGATGTTTATGCCACTATTTTTAGTTTACAATATTTCAATTAGTTTTGCTGCTATAAAATTTTTACGCCTTTGCAAGGACTGTCTCTATTTACCCCGCCCACCCCTTATTACCCTGTTTGACAGTATTGTTGAGCTGGTATACAATTCTATGAATTTGCCATTACATAGCTTACTGGTATATATTGATTCTGTAAGTCTGGACCAAATGCAGGCAGAGTTGAGGTGGTGTGCACAATTATCAAGTTTTGTAGCTGCAGACTTGACTATTGCAGAGGGCATATTGTTCTTCATCTATTTGAATATTTATCAATTCAGTCTCAGATGAAATCCACTGCAAAATTAATTAGTATAATTTTTAAATGGATTATTTAGCCATTGAATCATGTCCAGAGACCTCATAAATTTCTCTTAAACAATTATCATGATTTGATTGCCTTGCATTTATTCACAATGCTCTATTTTGCAGATGTTTCTAACCAGAAGTGAATATGATCGAGGGGTTAATACATTCTCTCCAGAGGGCAGACTGTTTCAGGTCAGCTTTGTGCTTAACAATTTATTTCATTGATAAATTTTATCTCATAGCTTGGATTTTTATAAAGAACTTTAATTGGAATGTTATAGTTGGAATCAAGTTCACCATCATTAATATAAATAACCTTGGAGAGTAGGTTTATAATTTTTTTCTACCCTCTTGCATTATGAATACTAATCTTTTTTCTACCCTGTTGAAATATAAATATTATAATCTTTTATTTACCCTGTTGAAATATTCATTACAATTGCTTGTACTTTCAATATCAATCTAGTCCCTCTGAGCCAGTCTGTTTTACAGTTGCCCTGGCAATTTGATTTAATTGGTAGACAAGACTAACAAGGCTAAATTTTAGAGTCATTGGCTCATTTTAACAAAAAGTTGGCAATTTCATTAACTTTACCGTAAACTGGGGTAACTTTGACCACTTTTTTTTTCAAAATGCGTCCATTTTTTTACTAGATAAGTTAAACTTAAATTGAAACCTGCAAAATACAGGTCTATACTCTAGCTTTACTCACCATAAATTGCTGGCTCCTGCCTCTCATAGTTTTGATGTAATTTAAAAAAAAAGTGATGGTCTTTGTTACCCCAGCTCTTGGGGTTTCTTTGACCGGGTGGTAAAATCAATTTTATTTTTTGGTAAAATAACTCCATGCATTGTAGTAGAAGTCTTCTAGTTACATATGCAAAAGAAAAATTTTAGGAAAGTGTCATAGTTTGCAAATGGGGGGTGCCGCCCCCAAATGGGCAAAATGTGACCACCTAATGGCAGCCGTGACGGGGTAACATTGACCGGTTTGGAAATTAAGTTAAAATTACTGTATATAAGACTCTGTAGAGTCTGAAACATGAAGAAAAAAACATTAATAGGTGTATCAAACATAAAATATGTTATATAGGTACCTATGGTAATTTTAACTTAATTTCCAAGCCGGTCAATGTTACCCCGTCACGGCTGCCATTAGGTGGTCAAAGTTACCCCATTGGGGGGTAGCGCCCCCCATTTGCAAACTATGACACTTTTCTAAAATTTGTCTTTTGCATATGTAACTAGAAGAGTTCTACTACAATGCATCAAAACCTGGAGTTATTTTACCAAAAAAATAAACAAATTGGAGGGGGTACTCCGACAGGCTTTAAATAATAGCTCTTTTTCGTGGGTCACATTTTTAATTTTTTAACCTATTAGATATGCAAACTTTTTAAATCTTTCTATTGTGTTACGTAGCCTCAGTATTAGGCCTTTGATGGCCATTGACAAAAATTTTCTATGTCAAATCATTTTTGAGTTTTGGGGGCTTTTGTTAAAAAAAACGAAAAGTGGTCAAAGTTACCCCGCCGGTCAAAGTTACCCCATTTTACGGTAGTTTAAAAACTAGCTGGATCACGTTTTACAAACAATATTTTGTTATTTTTACATGCCTATTTTATTTGCATAAGCACTGATTTTATGCTTGTTAAGTATTCTATTCTAGATAAGAAATGTAATTCACTTATACCCCGCAGGTTGAGTATGCAATTGAGGCCATAAAGCTTGGCTCAACAGCCATAGGCATTCAGACCAGCGATGGTGTGGTGCTAGCTGTAGAGAAGCGCATCACATCACCTCTCATGATCCCTGCAACCATTGAAAAAATTGTTCAGATTGACAAACATATTGGTGAGTTTTTGTTGATGAAGTGCTGTGTACACATACTATGCTTCTTGCAACCACATGATAGAAACTGTCACCTCTTGATGAGATAATTTTTCTAGATAGCCTTGATTGCATATTATTTATCATAGTTTAGTAACAAAAAAATTGATTGTCCGCTCAATGAAAATAATCAGCAATCTTAATGCAGGTCAAATAAAATTTCTTAAAATCTTTTGACCCTGCTATAACTGAATTATATTATTAACATGTTAAGTGCTTCAAAATATTAATGTTATTTCTACATCTGAACTAATAATTCTGGTCAGGCTGCATTTCCATAAGCCTTGCTGGTGCATATGTATTTGGATGCTTCGCTAAGCTAAGAATAAAGATTCCTTTATAGTACCATGTGTAGACTGCAAAGAGTACGTGATCATCATGCATTCAATAGTAATAAATTCTTGCACATTTTTGCCTTAAAAGAATTTATCATTGGGTGTCAGCTTTTTAATAACAAATATTTATAGTTTTTTTTCACTACCTATGTAGGTTTTCTTATTTGTTTTGCAACTAAGAATTTAAAAAGAATGCAAACACAGCGTATTTTCGTTGAAATAAAGGTATGGTGGATTTAATAACCTTTTTCTTTATTTCCAAAATTTTCAATTCCTTCATTTTCTGCGTCGTGCAATGGAAATGCAAGTTTATTTATACACATAGAATTCAATATATTGATTAAATATCAATATATAAAATTTTAGGTATAACTGGACATGTTGTGCAGGTTGTGCTGTGTCGGGTCTGGTGGCAGACTCGCGCACCCTCATTGACCACGCGCGCGTGGAGTGCGCCAACCACTGGTTTGTGTACAACCAGGACATGAAGGTCGAGTCCGTGGCTCAAGCTGTGTCTAATTTGGCTATCAGATTCGGCGATAATGACAGTGATGGACCAGCTATGGTGAGAAATATTCGATACTTGTTTTTCTTCTAGAATATAACTTTGAAGGTAATTTTAAATATGTAGGTATATTCTCTTTGGGAACGCGTTGATTTCTTTCTATTTGTGGAGTCAACATTGCACTTCTTGTGATTTAGACTATCGAACGGATATAACGAGCTGGAAGCACTTATTGTGCTTTGCTTGGTAGGTGCCCGTTTGTGACAAACATTAATATCTCTGTGGAAATTCACAAAGGAAGCGTTACGGAGTTTTTCATTACTAACCTCGTTTGTGTTTCTGTCATTGGAGCACCGCTTGCTTCTCTTCTTGAAGTTTTGTTATCTTTATTATCAAATTTGCTTGTCTGATCTATGAAATGAGATGAGTTCGTTTTTTACACGATACTTCAAGAGTTAAACAAAATAAGGGACACACTAGAGAAATCCACAAAATGTATTTTAGTATAGGGTAGGCCCACCTTTTGCGTCAATTAAAGCCTCAATATTCTCCGAGGTATCAAATCGTATAAATTGTGAATTGTTTCCAAAAGAATTTTAAGTATTTTTTCAGTTAAAACTTCCTCCAGCTTTTTTAAAGACGATGGTGGCGGATATTAACTTTTGACTTGCATCTCGAAAATCGACCATACAGTAAATGCTCGACGATGTATAGTTCTAGTAATTTAATTGGCCAAATGAGATGCTCAACTTCATTAGAATGTTCGTGCCATTTTTTCCTAATAATTCCAGCTGTATGGATCGGGGCATTATCATCTTGAAAACTGGACTTCTTCTCCAAAAACAGTGCTTGAACCATTGGATGAACTTGGTCCTCCAAAATTCCCAAAAAGTCACAGCTGTTGATTCTTCCGTGTAGAGAAATCATTGGTCCACCGGATTTCCAATAAATAGCACCCCAGATCATCACAGATCCCCCGCCATGTTTTACGATCAGGAGGAGGCAGTCGGGAGTAAATGACTCTTTTGACCGTTTTCAAACGTAAACTGGGCCAGAGGTTGGAAATATCGTAAACTATGATTTGTTAATCACATTCTCGAGGGACCAATTCTGGAGGTTTTTACACCACTCTAAGCGCTTTGAAGCATTTGTATTGGAAAGCAGAGGTTTTCTAATTGCAGCTCTTTCATAGAATCCAGATCTGCGGAGCTTTCGGCGGACAGTATTTATGGAAACTGGGTTTAATAGGTGTCTATTGAGGTCTGCAGTAATTTTAACAGCCGTGGTCTTTCGAGTGTCCCTCACAATTCGATTTAGTTACCGACGGTCTCTCAGGCAACTTCGACTTTCGGCCAGACCTGTGCTTTGCGGTAGACGTTTTTCCTTCTCTTTAATAAGCACTCTTTACTTTTGATACAGCACCTCTAGAAACGTCAAGCAGTCAGGAAGTTTCTGTCACACCCCTTAATAACTTTGTCACATCTTAGCCAACCTCAGTATATCATCAGTCAGGTTAAATCGCAAGTTCACCGTGAATTTAAAAGCTAAGATGGCTACAAGTAAATTCGTCATGTCTTCAATGAAAACGCCTAAGAGACCAGCTCAATTATCAGTTCACAGACTTGAAGATATGATGACTTATTTTTTTGCTTTTAAATTCTTATGATTACACGGTATTGTTGTTCGCAGAGTCGCCCATTTGGCGTTGCGATGCTGTTTGCTGGTGTCGACAAGTCAGGAGCTCAACTCTACCACCTTGACCCGTCAGGCACTTTCCTGCACTTCTGCGCCAAAGCCATTGGTTCAGGCTCTGAGGGCGCCCAGCAGTCGCTGCAGGAGGCATATCATAAAGTGAGACTAGGCTTGGACGCTGTAACTACAATTGTAATATTATTGATAAGTTGTTGAATCGTGAGCGTGTATTTTTCAGACTGTGAATATTTTTGCAGAAATTTTTCTTTTTGCATAGTAAACCGAATCGTTAACTTAGGAAGTCGTTGATCTACGTAAGAGAATCAATCTGGCATCATGGCAAGTTTGAATGCTAAGAGTGCAGATGGAGTTAATGGGTTTAGTAGTATGATAAGGTCGATACTCGAGGAATTTAAAATCAAAGATAAAAATGAATAAAGTCATATTATAAGTCAAAATTCTAAGACAGACAAAACCTAAACAAGATCTAACATTATATCGAAAAACAGGATAAATGTTAGGTCTTTCGATCTAGCGTTAGGTCTTGTTTAGGTTTTATGTCTGTCTTACAATTTTGACTTATAATATGATTTTATTCATTATTAGTTTGTCGAACTGATGATGGAGCTAGACTTCGATATAGTGAATTTGCTTGGCGTTTTCTTTGCTTTTAAATTCCTTGTGAACATGCGATATAAGCAGACTGATTATATAAGTACTTATATAAGGTCGATACTGATACTGACTATATCCGAAGAATGAATATTAATGTTACCTAATGAATTGTATTGTTGGATCAAACTTTGCCTTGAATGTAGTCAACTGTTTCGTTCTGCATGTAACTGGAACACGGTAGTAGCTAATACTTCATTGTGCGTGGTATTCAAGACTTAATCAGTTTGTGTTTTGGCAGTCGATGACGCTGGATGAAGCTTTGAAGACGTCGCTTAGCATCCTGAAGCAGGTCATGGAGGAAAAAGTAAGCTCGACGAACGTCGAGGTCGCCGTCATCACCAAAGAAAAGGGCTTCACACGCCACCCACAGGACGAGGTAGAGAAGATCATCTCTGCTCTCTGAACAAACCGTCGCAAATGCTCGTAAGTTTCTTTATCAGTGTTAACAAGCAGTTGGCTTTAGATCAAAGTTGTATGATCGTGTACGGACGCATTTGAAGGAGCACAATGCAGAAGAGTTTCGTTCAAAAATTCTGAAACGCTTCTCTTGAATGTATTGCAACATGTGGAGAACCATGTATAGGTAGAGAATCTAACATAAATTTGGAACCTCGTTGTTTGAGGTTTCTTGTATACTTAAATTATAGCAATTGATACAGTAAGATCTTTTCGCAGGATCAAAGCAAGATCATGAGCCGCCACCACCAGCAAGGAAGAGGCTATGCAGCCTGGAGCCTGAGGGACGGCGCCGTTGCAGACGTTGACGCCAATGGCGACATTTCCTGCGCGTGAACGCTGCTTCTCGCGTGCTGGAAGTGACGGGGTTCTGTGCTTTGTGGTGTCGCGTCACTAGTAAAGTTTTTCTTTTATTCAGAGCAGTTTCATCCCATAAATCCTGCTGATGTGCGAGCGCCGAGGTAAAATACACTGTTAGTCACGCGAGTTCACAACGTTAAGTCCAGAAACTATGGCTCCGTAAATGTAACGGGGAAATATTGTACTATACTGACTCGAAATCAGCAAAAAAATCACACCAGAAGAAAAAAAGAAAAACCTAGATATAAAAGAAAGTCAATCGATTGACTTTGACCTAGCGATCAATTGCCGAACAAAGTAATGTTTTTATAATGAACGAGCACGGTCGTACCAGTATAATTATCTGGGTCGTTAATGTGTAAACTTCGGAAAATTCGTGCTTTAGAAACTCGTCCTCTTCAGAACCACAATTGAAGCGTCATTGCAAATAGATTCAAATAGATTATAACCGAATGGCGAAATATGAACAAGCATGCATTACTTACAGATCACAATTGAAGTGGCTTCAAGTTGAATTCATAGTAGACTGGATGAACTATTCGCAGGTCAGATCAATAACCATGCTTTTCTCGCTTTAGAAGTTCAGTCGTACAGGGAGTAAAGACACAGGACAACGAGGATGATTAACTATCTTCTAAAAACAAAGACAAGACCTTACAATTAAAGACGGCAATATCCTCAACTAACTTTGTGCTGGCAGAATGCAATGACAGTTGGGCTATATTGTCGACGATCCTCGGTTACATTTATGCCTGGAAAAATGGCCCAATTCGAGCGCGCACAACTGGGGAGCATTAAGAAAAAATTTACTAGTATTTTCCTGTAATAGCAAATCTGTCATGAAATGCTTATTATTTATAATTTAAATGCTAAGCATTAAATTACTTAATTATTGACTAGAAAAGAGCATGTAAATGTAGGGGGACTAGAACTCTTCTCACATAAAATTTCCAATACCACACACACTTTCTCCAACAATTTTTACTCCATCGTAAGCGATAGGGCTCCAGACAATTCATACTTCTACCTGCGAATTTCACGTTTAACTGAAATTGTAACCTCCTGAAAGTTTGGCGTTATAATTATTTTTGTGCATATGGCTCCAGGTGTTGGTGCTCCGAGTGTCATGTGATGGAGAGACCCTTGCTGGGACTGACTCCAGCGGGGCCTGTCTTGTGGTAGCGACGCAAGAATGACTTCTTCTTCGGATGTCGCGATAAACTCGTCTCCAGTTGATCTATAAGCAACTTAATTCTCATTAAGGAATATTAAACAAGCATTTCTTTAGCGTGCTCTAGGAAAATTCGTTAAATAATGCAGTAGGTACATTTCAGGTGAGCTTGAAAATAACATCACCTCTCAAAAAAGCACGGAGAATTGCACTATGGGAGATATGAATATCTTGTAGTCAAATTATGCTTATAAAATGTTTGAAATTGAAGATATCGCAAAGAATCTTCAAAATTTTTATTAGGGATGCAATTGTAACTGAACAATAAATGAAGCAGATCATGACAAGCCTACTGAATGAACAGAAGACCTAGGTGTCGAAAGCTAAGCTTGGCCAACGGATACTTAAGCCGTTGTCCAAACTGTTCGTTCTTAACTTCCTGCTTACTAAAGTTAACGCCATTAGGAAAAACAATACAGAAGCAAACATAAAAAACTGATACATTCAGTATAAACATGAGGGAGAATACTCCGTATTGAAAATAAGCCCAGAAACAAAATTCATGACTTTTACGCAGGTCTAACACACGACATCTAGGCTAGAGATGAAGGTACAGCACAAACCTTTGACATAAGCTGTAGCGGCGCTGGCAGAGCAGCGCTCGTCCATGTCGAAGAGCTCATCGTCAGAATCTATCCTGACGCAGTCACCGCCTTCGTCCTCATCGCCTGTCTGCAGGTCCAGCGTCTCTGGCGTAGAAAAAAGCTGTAGTTACGAAGCGAGATCTCACTCTATCCAGATTCGAGTCGCAAAACGTAATGAACGACACGGCATGCAAATGCGTGATATTATTCACAGGCTTTTACTTCATTTCGCGCAAATAGTTTCTGGGAGCCAAATGAATTTTATATGAGGTTACTTCGCTCTCGCCGTGACTGCGCATCATGTATTAAGTCACATAATTTAATGTGCATGGATTAGTACCCAGCAGGATTCACAAAAAAAAAAAACACTTTAACTCATCATAAAAGAGAGAGACACGATTACTCACCTCTCATCGGCGAGAGCTGCACACTCAGAGTCAAGCCATCATGTAGGCGGTGGGTGGGCTGAGCGAGAGGTGACAACTGAGGCCGGGAATGTAAGTTCTGAGGCAGGGAGTGTGAGGAGTTCTGAGGCAGGGAATGTGAGTTCTGAGGCAGGGAGTGTGAGGAGTTCTGAGGCAGGGAGTGTGAGGAGTTCTGAGGCAGGGAGTGTAAAGAGTTCTGAGGCAGGGAGTTTGAGGAGTTCTGAAGTGGCGCTGGGGTCTGCGTAAGATGACTAAGATCTGATGGTGACGAAACAACAATGATGCGGTGGCTGCCGTTGTCTGCGTAGTGACCTGAATCTGATCTGTGCACCTGAAATACCAGATACACATTTGACATGTTTTACTTTTACCTAAAACACCAAACAATTTGAATAAAGATGATAACATATTTTGATGCCAGATTGACCTTTGAGCTTGATACTATAGCATATGTATTAATTGCATACTTCATGTTGCAAAAAGGCATAATTAAATTCTACAGTAAACCTGGATTGAATGACCAGCGAATCGATCACTCACTTGCAAACTTGGTGACTCAGCCATTACAGTTTCAGCGTGTACAGCGTCAGGTTGGGAGCTGACATCGACGTTACCGTTCTGATCGTCGTTTTCCCTGGCGCTAACTTCGCCGCTGGTGGAGGTTAGGGCGGCCAAGGAACTCGTGTTCGAAGGCAGCCCCAGCTCGTGCAGCTCCTGCGCCTCTGAAGGAGATCGAGCGAGAGGTCTTCTGGTAGGAGGCGAGTCCTCGTCTCCACATTCACCTTCTGTGACGCCACTCACCTGCAGACGTTAGTAACGTGGAAACTCAGTAAAGTATTTTTTATTCTGAGATCCACAAAAAATGAGATTACGTCCAGGAATTCTACTCAATGAACGTTCTTGAAAATTCCTGAAATATCGTTCCTGAGAGGTTTGAAGCTCATTTTTCGCAACAGAAACATCGCCATCACTTGGAAAACAGAGTTTTAACAGAGTTTTTTGATAAGCGCACTCTTTTTTTTTTTTTTTTTGTTCTGGAATCATAACGATCATGGCTCTAGCCAAGTCGTGCTGGAGTCAGAATTTCCGTTTAATATGCTCCACAAATTTGATAATTAAATCACAACGAATAATAATAATAGATACCGTAATTACACAATTCATGAATAACAGAAATTATCGCATATTAATCAATAGGTGGAAAAAAGGGGCATTTGGGGTAAAAGTCTCATTTTTCTACTCAATTTTTTGCCAGATTAGTCCCCAACGGGTGTAATTAAACCTAGACTGACATCCAAATCAGTAATTTATAACATAAGCTCATCGTCTCTACAGCCATCACCGCTTACCACGACGACCTCGTCTTCTACTTCAGCGTCAGCAGTGACCGTCTCCTGCTGTGACATCTGCTGGAGTCGCTCCTCCTCAGCGCGGCGATGCCTGATCCTCTCCTTGACTTGCTCCAGCTTACGCTGAGCTCGCAGGCGCTCCTTCTCCACGTCGTGCTCCACACGGCCCTGCAGCTCCGCGTAGTGCACCACAATTGTGTCCAGCAGCCACCTGCACAAGATTTATCCTATGAAAACAGGTCTTATAACTTACATAACAAGTTTCCTTGAAAATAGATCTTATAACAACATATAACATAACATCGCACATAATTTAGAACATTTCTATGTAAAATGTCGTTTAATACAACAGCTTTGACTAGTGATTCCGTTGCTTTATTTTCAATCATCGAATGCACAATTGACTGTGTTAATTTCAATGCTCGTGAGTTACATGTTTCCAAGGAAAGAATTCGGTAATTAACACGTTGACTACGAAGTGGTACATATGCGTACCACGAAATGTATCTCTCCAGGACGTAGTTATACATAATTAAGGTTGCCTAAAATCGGCCAAATCCGAGAACAAAAAAAGAAAATAAAACGATAACTCAATATATACTAGTTTATTTGTAGCTCCTGCTATAAAAATTCCATTTATTTTCTTTTTGAAGTATTTAAAATTTAATTAGGAAGTATCCCTATCATAAATTTTAGCTGGCCAACGCAATTGAGAAAAACTAAATCACGGAATATGTCCGGAAAAAATGACCGTCTGGCAAAACTGTTTAAAAAACGGTACTAAAAATGAAATAATAGTACAAGATGAAGCAATCGTAATCAACGAGTTAAGTTAGTGAGTTACACTTTTTAAAACTAAGTTAGTCAGTAATCTACACTTTCTAAATGTGAGTCAGTAAGTAAGTTAGAGAGTTCTACTTTTTGAAAATGCAGTCACGCACGACATGCGGGTATGTGCTGACAGGTGTCAGCTCTGACCTGAAGCCGTCAGCGATGGGCTTGTCAGGCTTGTTGTTGCTGCTGATGGCGATGGCCGAGCAGGTCTCCACGCGGGTCGGACACTTGTACTTGTTCACCGTCGTCTCGATCTGGGTAAAGAGATACGTTGAGCTGTACAACTACGAGATAAGTACTATACAACGATGCCATCCATCTTCGGTCTAACTTTAGGAACAAGTGAGCGAAATTTGCTAGAGTAACACTCAAGGCGCCCTAGCAGCACCTGAAACCTTAGCCTGAGCAATTGAGCAAGAAAAATTGTCTATCGACTATCTGAAAAGGTCCGGCAATGAGATTTGAGCAAAGAAAATGCCACAATGGATTATCTATTCATGATCATATCTACAATATTTTTATTTTCAAATGATGTTAGTGAGGCATAGGCTTAGAGGGCTGTTATGCCAGATATCTTAAGGACCACCATGGAAAGCACTTGACCATTACACAAGTTATTACAGAACGTTCAGCACCACCACGCAGCCGTTGATGGTAAGTTTATTACAGGAAGAAACTCACATCCAGCATCTCGACGATGTCCATCTCATCCATAGCGCCGTCCACGTCTTGCTTGTTGGCCAGGCTGTACAACAAAACAAAAATCTATTTTATGCTTCGATACGAAACTTGTCGATAATAAAGCCTCAGTTAGGGCGAATTCTACACTTGATTTGAGCAATCACTTGATTTGAGCTAAATTTGCATTGAAAACGTAACAAATAATCATGTGAAGTTCTAAGATAGCCACTACATTTATTTCTAGACATTTCAGTCATCAAAATATTCCAGACTGAAAAAGTTCATTTGTTAATGAATTTACAATGTGAAAGAAATATGATTTGCAATGGCACAGAAGTATTAGTAGTAGTCGGATGGTTTGCTAGGTATCGCGTCAACTATCAAGCTATTTCGCAGCGGAGGTTAAAAATTCACATCGTTAGTAAGGTTTCCATTATTTGAAAATTTTCAAACCCACAAAGGATGGAACATCTCAACTGGCCAACCCGATGAAGCTGGCTTAAAAGAAGCAGCGTTAGCATCTCGAAAAGACGAAGTGACAAGGAGGGACAGGTGAAAAGCAACAGAAACGAAGACACTCGAACAAGAGGTCGCTGACATGGGACGTCGGCCGCCCGCACGAGAGAGACAGAGAAGGGAAATGTAAGGGATCCTACCTACACAACAACTTAACTTCATTACTGCCCTGTCTACATGGTGGCTTAACCCAACAACTGAGACCTGCGATCAGGCATCGTGAGCTCTGTGGTTGTGCACTCAGGAACATTGCCCGTAGGAAGGAACGCGAAATCCCGTAGGACTTCTGGCGAGCACAGATAGACGTCACAAGAATTCCCTAAGGAGCAATGGCACGAAAGAGAGCCACACGACGACTCTCTCGTCAAGATACACGTCAAGAGAGCCACAAGAATATAAAAATACTCGTCAAGAGAGCCACAAGAATATAAATAATGTACGTTTAAAAATTACTTTTTAAAGACAACACTTCTAAAGCATCCGGCATCTCCAATGTTACACATGTACAATGAATTTCTAATTTTATTTTCAGATATTAAAAAGAATAATTTTTCAATTTTTTTACTATATAAAAAAATTCAAAAATATTTATTTTTTTAATTGGTTTATGAATTGTCTCCAACTTTACGCAAATGTTCAAAATTTCAGATCGATTGGACAGGTAGAAGTGTGCTAAATATCAATTATAAAATTTGTAGCAGAAAAAATTATTTTTTCATTTTTTAATATTGAAAAAAAATTTCTCTTTTTAAATTATTTATTTTATCAATCGATTCATTCATTGTCTCCGATTTTACGAAAGTTTGCAAAATTTCAGATCGATTGGAGAGGTAGAAGTGTGTTAAATATCGATTATAAGCTTTGTAGCAGACAGACAAACAACAAGAAGTGAAGTTAAAGAGAAGTGTTGTAAAATACTCGTCAAGAGAGCCACACGACGAAGCGGTGCCCGAGGTACGCACATGAGGACGGGTTTGCCGGCGATGCGGCGGTGCGCCAGCAGCTCCTGCAGCGCCGCCCGACACTCGTCCACGCGGTCTGTGGCGCTGCACAACAAGTACGTAGTGGCTCACCTCGGCTTGAGTCCTGACCCAACAAGTACGTAGTGGCTCACCTCGGCTTGAGTCCTGACCCAACAAGTACGTACTGACGCACCTCGGCAAAGTATCTGGTCCACACAGGCCGCAGTTTGGCGGCGCCCCCCAGGTCAAACAGCGTCACATCACAGCCCCGGTACTGCAGCACCTCGGGCACAAAGCCCAGCGTCGGCGCCACCGTCTCCAGGGGCTCTGAACATCATAGCATCAGGTAACATTATTAATGTTATATGCCAAGTGCCAACATCGAGCACCATCATCAATGTCTTCACTTCACTTCATCAATAATAGCTGATGGTGATTAGATATGAGCAAAAAATATCTAGTGTCAGCACAAGGCATCATCATCAATGTCATATCTTTGATGTATCCAGAATCAATTATATTAGACCGAATATCATAAGTATTTTAGGTTTCGTTGTGTATAATAATGAAAATAAAAAAAAATTGCCTCATGCAGTGTTGTCGACTGGCCTTTAAGTGGTAAATCAAATCAAATTAAGTCAAGTGTAAAAAAGAACAGGGTGTGAGCGGTACCTTACGTAATTACAAAATGGTGGGAACTTCAGTAATTTTTATACAAACTTGTCAGCAGAATTAATAATATTATTACTAATTCAGGGTGCGCACTACAGAAGCCTGAAGTACCATGGTGATGTTGAAGGAAGTGTTCTTGAAAAGCATTCGTAATGCTAAGAATAGCATTTTTGTCTACCCTCTTGAGGTGAGAGTGATTAGGCTGTAACGTCAAGTCATGATAACGTCAATAAACTCACAGTCTTGACTGGCTCGTGGGAACTTCACTCGCTTACTGATCAGGGACGAAGACAAGACGTCAAAAGAATAAAAAAAATTCAATTTCAACTTCCACCCGAGTTAGTAAGCACGGTGCATTGCTGCATGTAAGAAACGGCTAAACGAGTTCGCCCTATGATAAAGTCTCAACAAAAACGACTCGGCCAAACCCCATAAATCGAATCTTCATCAACCAAGCGATTACGGCTTTCGGTCGATCCGCTGCCTACAGGGTGAAATGAATGGAATAAACTTTTTAATTAAATATGGTTGAATATATTTATTTACTCGTGGAAACTCTCGTCAGCACACCCTATTCTCTTCAAAATGTTCTGTGACACTTCGTAACAGACTGCGAGATTGATTGATTTTCCGTTCGTCGTTCACGGTTGTTTTCGAGAACATCGTAAACCTTGCAAATTTGAACACTGCGAGCCGCGGGCGCATGACTTTTTCGTGCGGTAACGGTGCATGTAACAAACACATGTGCCCTGTGTAGTGCTCACAAACACGTGTGCCCTGTGTAGTGCTCACAAACACATGTGCCCTGTGTAGTGCTCACAAACACATGTGCCCTGCGTAGTGCTCCCAAAACGTACAGAAAAAGTGCATTGAGAAAGCCGATTTATGCTGGCGATTTTAAAGTGCTCGCAATATCGATTAAGCAAAAAACGAACGAAAAAGGTGCAGAAATTAATTAATAATTTGACTTGATTTATGCGCGGGTACCTCCAAGAATGCCCTTAGCAGCGGTGGTTTTGCCGGCATTGTCGAGCCCCACCAGCAGCAGCGTCACTGGCCTACGTCCCGCAATATATGAACATACGAACAGTAAATATCATTGAATTAGTGTGCTAATACCCGGTCTAAATTAGCTTACTTGCAAAAGTAGAATTTGAAGGTAGATATCAGAAGGCAGGGTAGTAAGTGTACTTAAATGGAGCACAGACTTGTAGGTAAAAAAATATATTCAATGCAATACACTGAAACTATAAGAGGTCAATTATTCTATCCCAATAGTTCGTGAAATATACTTGAAATGTCTAAAATGCACATTATGCGATACATAAACGCCCAAGGGCCGTATCATCAAAACATTGATCAGCACAAATAGCGACTCAAATTTTTTCACAAAGAAGCAACAGGATATTGATAAAAAAAACATTTGGTTCCAAGAATAAAAAAAAAACGTTCCAAAAAAACATTTGGCTCCTTTGAACTACCATATATCGCTGTACCAGACCTCGTCCTCTGAACTACCATATATCGCTGTACCAGACCTCGTCTCTTGAACTACCATATATCGCTGTACAAGACCTCGTCCTTTGAACTACCATATATCGCTGTACCAGACCTCGTCCTTTGAACTACCATATATCTCGTCCTTTGAACTACCATATATCGCTGCACCAGACCTCGTACTTTGAACTACCATATATCGCTGTACCAGACCTCGTCCTTTGAACTACCATATATCGCTGTACCAGACCTCGTCGTCACACTGCGAGGTTAAGTACCAGCGCGCTATAAGTCACTTAGTGGTAAACGAGAGATTTTTCATGTACATCACTTTTTGAGGTAGACCTGTAAGTAGACCCGTAAGTATCATGGATACCAACATTATCATGCACAAGTTACTGAAAGAAAACATGAAGTAGATCTGGAAATTTAAAATAACCTGGCAACTTTAAAGTCGCTCATTTGCCCCTATAAATATAATCTACCAATGAGACTATAATGATTTTACTATAATTATAATCTACTGAACTACAATGATAATATTTATTTATTCTGAATCAGTAGCATGCAGCGCAGCCTCGCGTTCATGAGGCCCAAGAAATAAATATTGCTTAAGCTATTATTATTGTCAACGGCAATAAATTACCAGCATTTCCACTAATGCAGTAATTCATGTAAAACTAACCTGAGGAACGGCCAAAAAACTAGCTATAGAAGCTTCATCAAGTTTAACCCTCTACCGCCGTATGTCACTCTCCGGGAACATTACTTTCAACTTAAATTTTCCGTAACCTATTTAGTGGAGCAACCTGATGACGTTTGTACGCAACAGAGAACATTTTAAAGTTAAACTTTCAACTTAAATTACACGTAAACTAAGGAGTGTAGCAACTTGAGGACGTTAGTACGCAGCAGAGAACATTTTAAAGTTGTCGTACGTGGCGGCAACCATCAGTGCAAGTCATTTTGCGCTCACTAGAATGTATCGTTTTTGGGAAGTAGGCGCGTGACAATATTGCTCCGGTTACTAATGTCAGGCGGTAGAGGGTTAAGAAAAAGTTAAAATACGTAGCAATTAATCGAATAAAGCATGGATGAATGAACGACTATTTTCCAAGCATGAAATTAATAGTTAATTACTGATAACAATAAATGTCGCGGAAAATCACGAGTTTTTCAATTAATATCAAGGCAGCAATTTTGATTCATTTGAAGTGTGAACAAAGTAGCAGAATCAGAAGAACTATAATGCCTGCTCATACAATGTTATACGGTACTGGTAAAGAAAATAAAGCTCAGGTGCTGATCCATCAACACAAAAAATTTAAGCTGTCCCGTAGCGAATAAGGCATACGAAACGAATTTACATCAAGTCTACTCAGTCAGCATCAAGTCTGAATGATCATCATTAAGTCGAAATGATCATCAACAAGTCTAAATGATCATCATCAAGTCTAAATGATCATCATCAAGTCTAAATGATCATCATCAAGTCTAAATGATCATCATCAAGTCAAAATGATCATAAAGTCAGAATGATCAGCATCAAGTCAAAATGATCAGCATTAAGTCTAAATGATCATCAAGTCAGAATGATCAGCATCTAGTCTAAATGATCATTATCAAGTCTAAATGATCAGCATCAAGTCTACATAGTCAGCATCAAGTTTGCATAGTCAGCATGAAGTATAGGTACTTAATATCAAGTCTACAAAGGAAGGAAGGTGTAACAGACCCGTGCTCTATTCCGCAGTCCGCGTAGCTGTGTGAGAGATGTGTATCATTTCAGGGTTAGTTAACACACCGCTAATAATGCTCAGCGTAGGCTTGTATTCCTCAGCAAAATATTGCTCAGAAAACCTCTCTTACAGCCGCTAAAATCATCGATCGAAACAAGTAATCACTAAAAATGGCAAAAGAACCGTAGTTAAACTTCAATAAAATCCAGTTTTAGTAAATCGCGCTCAAATTTTCAAGTCACCCCTAACTAGTTATTGCCGCGAGTCTTCATTTGTAATAGTACTTATCATAGAACAAAACTATAATAAAATTTTAGTTTTTGGGGTATTCAAGTAATTCTTTGAAAAAAAAACATAAAAACCAAGTGTACCTACTGACGCATGACACTATATGCAAGTTGCGACATACACTCAATATAATAACATCAGGCACAGGAAATAGGTATAAATAAACTTTCTTATGAAACGGCAATAAGAAAATTCATAGTTAACAACATTATGTATATAGTTAAGAGGGAGTCGATGTCACTACACACTCACCTCTTCTCCCGGAACAGACCGAGACGCTGAAGACAATTGCCCATGACGACCCTTCATCCGACGCGGGTGAAGGCACCAGAGAGGTAACAGCGACCAGGGACCGCACTATCACCGTACTAACACCGTACGTGACCTGGGACCGCACTATCACCGTACGTGACCTGGGACCGCACTATCACCGTACGTGACCTGGGACCGCACAATCACCGTACGTGACCTGGGACCGCACTTTCACCGTACGTGACCTGGGACCGCACTATCACCGTACGTGACCTAGGACCCCACTATCACTAACAGTTACGAGTTTGTAACTTTGTCAGTCGATCTCTGATGGCTTTCAATTTAAACCGAACAACCAAAGACGGCAAATCGGCCGCTTTGTGAGCTTAGGCTGATACCGTACCTGTACGTAGGCTGCTAAATGTTAAGTTTTGATAGTGACGAAGCAATAGAAAATGAATTAAATTGAATAAATGTCATCAAAGGCCTTGTTTGAGTGCTCGATGACGACAGCTCTGTATATTAATATCAATTTCTTTCCTAACGGTCTCTGATGAAGCAACAGAAAGTGAATTAACTCAGTGACATGTCATCAAAACATCAAAGAAAAACTAGCTGAATAGTATTGGTTTCATCTTGACCACGACTGTGGTCGTTAACATTGAAAAAATGTTTATTTATACATTTAAACATATATAGAACTGTGCTTACAATGTGGCGCATCAGACACTGTGCCACAAGAAAAGCAATGTCTTACAGAGTCAATAAGGTACCTATTCAAATAAGTCAATAAGGTATTCAGAGTCAAATTATTCATTCTGATGGAAAGGTGCATAAAAGTCGTACGGATTTAGGCGATGGTGGTAATGAAGTAAAGAGAATGTGTATATTCTCTTAAATATCACATTATTCTCTTAAATATTATTCTCATAAATATCACATCTTAAATATCCTTGTATATCACAACAGCACGTTGTGATCGAGAACAAGGAATGTAATGTAGTGCTGCATCCCACGGCGTCACTAGCAGGACATCAGTGTCTCCACTAGGTAATTAGCATAAATCGTTGGTGAAAGTGTGGCAGGATGTGGCGTAGAACTAACAAGGGTGCCGGGGGAGAGTTGTGTCCCCTCACGAGTGTTTCATCTCGTGTTCCTGCGGCTTATAGGCACGCATCAAAATATTATGGACTTTCATCAATATTATTGTTACTCATCAAATAGTTCTGTTGTAAGTCAATATTATTACCACTTATCAAATATTATGTAGTCTCAATAAATATTAGGGGCACTTATCAAGATATTGTTAATTTTAAATGGTAGACGATAGGCGTGAGAGAACAGTTGGAAATGTGTGGAAGCTCAATTTAAAATAATTATATCACGATTAACGAGTGAGACAAAACGACCGCTTTTAAATAAATACTTTTTATTTACATAAGATAAATGAACATATGGGACAGCTAATACAATAATTGCATGCACATAACAATAAAATAAACAAACTTCAACAACAGACACCTAATCATAGTTAACAATAAAATATTAACAGAGTGACAATAAACCGTCGCGCCCTTCAACAAACAAAAACTCTTGGGCCCGTCCTGAGCATGCGGAATATATTGACGATTTGAGAATAGGTACTATAGCTGGGAACGTGTGTTCACAGCAATTAGTACAACTTTCCAGCGCCTCACGGCTTCACTAGCAGGACATCAGCGACGTCACTATGAAATTAAATGCATTGCAGCGCCACTACTATCATTAGTAGCGTTTGTATGCCGCTTGTGGTGGAAGAATTTAATATGCACAGTGATGGCTGAGGGGCCTAAACACTATCGTATACTCAAGGATGCCTGCCAAATACTTTTGGTCTATCAAATACAATACTCGGATACGATTGACAGGCCTAAATGCTAACTTGACGGGCAGAAAGGCAAGATTGGCAGGCCTGAAGGAAAACTTAACAAGTCTGAAGACAAGATTCGCAGGCCTGAAGATAATCATGATGGAAAACTTGACAGGCCTAAAGATCAGATTGGCAGCTTGAAGGAAACCTTGACATGCCTAAAGAAAAGATAAACAGGCCTAAAGAAAAACTTGCCAGGATTAAATATACGCTTGACAAGCCCTAAGGCAGCTATGCAGCGGTTCGAGCGTCTCTCGCTAGGTGCAAGAGAGGGAGGACATGGCCACACCGAGCAGGTACCCGCACCCTGAGCAGCGCGTCGCCTCGCGTCGCGCCGATGTTGACCGCTGCCATCGGCACCCCCAACTCCGCGGCCAACAAGATGAATCTGCATGCAAAGCTTAGTTAACAGCAAAATTTTAGTTCTTTACACCCTAATATTCCGAACAAATCATTCAGTTTGTGTTACTGCAAACCATTTATTTACTTTTGAACTCCTTGACCATGGAGACTAACTGCCGTTAATACAATCATATCCCAAGCCCTGGTAAGCCGAGTTCTCGTTACTAATGAAGAGTTAGATGCATGTAAAAAGTTAGATTCTTAATGATATTTCCAGCAAGTTAAAATTTTCCTAGTGAAAATAAATATTTTCTATTTCTCATACAGTAATGGCCGCCTTGCGCTGCCGGTACCTGTAGGCAGAGTACACCTGCAAGGAGGTGCCAAGTGCGAGGAGAGCATCGCATCGTCGCAGCTCTTCCTTGACAGCCTCCACGCGACTCCTGGGCACGTTGTCTCCAAAGAACACCACGTAGGGCTTCAGGATACCCCCACAGTCAGGGCATGGGGGCACCACAAACTTGGCAACAGCATCCTGCAAATGAATTTACTATTTATCAGAAAAAGAAATTATTTCAGCCTTCAATAGACAATATTAGTCCTTCGTATCAGATCTAATTCCTAAATATACAAAATTAGTATATTTCTAAAGCAACATATTATGGGATTGTGGCAATTTACAAATTCGTGATCCTGCATGCCAGAAACCTTAGATGTAAAAGCACAAATGGAAAAAAAAAAACAAGCAACATTTGGCCAACCTATCAACATAAGCATTACTATATATTACTAAGGAATACTCCACTAGTATATGAAACTAACTTGTCTCTATATGAAACTAACTTATACACACACAAACAATCTTACATCAATAAATTAACTAAAATAGGTATGCTTTTATTGAATGCTAATCCTTTGTGAGAGTAAGCCTTTTATTCATCTTAATGTACACTAGGTTGCTGACTCCCAAAGCAGGAAATGTGCTCAAGAGTTTACCTTTTACATCATCAGTGCTGGAATACCTTAACCTAAAGCATATCCTTGAGGCTTATCCTTAACATTGGTGGTGCAAGGACATATGAAAAAAAATTGAATTCATCATTTAAATTATATTATATATGCCAGTTCATGCACATTTGGTACTTCATGATACATTTTTATTACACAAAAATCATTTTTTACATATTTTAAACAGCACATTTGATGCAAATACTGAATTTATGCATTTACAGTCACTTCCAGGATAAAAATTGGCAAATATAGAAAAAAACTTACCATGGAGAGTTCAACATCTCCATCAGGTCTTATTTGCTGTGAGGATAAGTGGACCAGATGAGGGTTGAGGGATGTCAGCAGCGGCTGCAACTCTGCTCTCCTGATTCTGTACGAGCAGTGCATGCAGTGCACCATGTGTGCTGAACCTGCAGTGAGCAGTGATTCCAACTTGGTGAACTTGTCATGGAAAACAACAGGGCTGAAAAATATCACCAGAAGAGATGGAAGAAAGCTTGGCCTCACAACATATTTAATCATGTTAACATAAAAATTCCTTATTTACTTTTCCACAATGCATCTGTACAAATTACAGTGCACATCCTCACCATGTAATTCAGTCACCTTGACACTGCCAGCCTTTTGATGTAGGGCGTCCACATTCTGGGTGACAATGTGACAAACTTTGCCTTGTTTTTCCCAGTCAGCAAGAGTCACATGAGTTATGTTTGGTTTAAATGAAGAGAATTTTGGCCAACCAACATAGTTGCGGGCCCAGTAACTCTGACGCACAGCTGCTTTGTTAACAAAGTCCTGAAATGAAGGCACAATGTATGGTATACATTTAACTCATATAATTAGGCTGCCTTCAATAATCCAAATAATGTATGAATATATGAATGTTTAATAGTTCATGTAAAAAGGTAAACATCTTAACAATTGCAAAACTTATCTACATCCTAACTTTTTCCTTGATGAATCTAAATAATACCAGGTAAAATGCAGAATGTGTCAATCTAGGTAGGTACTAGGTGGTCAAGAGGAATTTCCTATTTTACTACCTACTCAACAAGAACTCCAGAGATATTCAATTTCTAATTGTCATCTAAAAATAATAATAAAATGTTTCCTCAAATACATAATACTCAGCCCAAAAACTACTATAATTGAAAAACAAATCTCCAATAGGAATTCAAGGGATTCAAAAATAGATAAACCAACCTTAAATTGTACTGGACGTTTTTCTGAAGTAGCATAGAGGCCAACACCTTCAGATCTATAGTCAGGGATGCCACTCTCAGTAGATATACCAGCACCAGTGAGTACAAATATTCTTGTTGCTTCATTGATAAAATCTTGTAACTTCTCCAGGAGTTCATCAGGGCAAGGGCCATGTTTAGGAACAAAGGCTAGGTTGCTACAAGCTTTGTGACTCCAAAGCTGTAATCTGCTGTTGAGTAACTTCTTCTTAGCAAGACTTCTTTTCACTTGTGTAATAGAGTTTGATTTAGATACAGTTAAAAATGTTCTTAAGTGTGTTGCTCTACTTAAAAATGATGTTATGAAAAAGTTTTTATACATACTTTCCTGCCTTACAATATTACAGAAACAATGCAAATGATTAATAAAAGGCATTTTCATTCAATTTCCTGTAGGTTTAACAATATAATTATTTACTTTCATATCAAAAGAAATAATAGTAATAATCACAGGTAATAATTCATAATATACTTCTTCAATTGTGTAATACACCTTTAAAAACATGCTTAAACCAAAATTGAAATGAAGAAATAAAATCAAGATTTGCAAAATTTTTGAGAACTAAGTGGTTAGAATATTTCCTCACATTTTTTCATAAGAACTAGCCCTCTAGGAATATTGACATCAGGAGGATGTTTAAAACTTTCGTCAACACACAAAGACATGGATGCACAAGTTGCAGAAAGTAAAGTCATTCAAGGGTGGACACAACATAGTTCAAGTAAGCAAAATGAAACTTGTGAAATAAAAGGACAAGATTAACATGAGAACCAGTGAAAACCATCCATCATTCTTTATAAACAGGCATGAATGACTAAAAAAACATTTGTTAAGAGCTCTGCAAAGAAAAAAAGCAGCATGGTGACATCTTAATGAGATGAAATGAACTTTACTCACCAAAATGGAGCATCAGGATGGGATTAGCAAGCAGAAGTGTTGATCAAATCATGCAGTAAGGTGTCTTAAACAGGCTTTTGAAGGTCAGAAAAGAACAGGTACAACCAGTGAATTTCCAAATCAGCAATCAGGGGTGCAGACTAACAAAAGTGCATTACATATGGACTTGCAAGAGTATTTTCGTTTGAGGAACGAAAACAATCTAATTAGAGCTCAGAGTTTTAGGCTGTTTGCTTTTAACATGTTGAAAGCTCTATTTGATCTTTTGGATTGTTTCTTCCTTGAATTTTATCGTATCAGTAAAGAAAAAGGAAGAAAGCTCTGCGGAAATGATTTCCGCCATCACTCTGCGGAAATGATTTCCGCCATCGCCAGCTTTCCTTCCGTTGACCTTGAGCGGCAGCAGCGGTGCAGGCGCAGCTTACGTGCTCTCTCAATCGCAGCACTGCCCGCGTAATGAAGTTTGGGGAGGAGGTAGCCTCAGCACAGCCTAAAACTCTGAGCTCTAATTAGATTGGTTTCGTTCCTCAAACGAAAATAATTAGAGCAAACTTCATTTTAGGCTGTTTGCTTTTCTACCAAAGTCGCCCTTTAGGGTTTGGGGGAGGAAACTTTCAGACTCCCATGAGAGGTAAAAGAAGCAATCGAGATATTTAAACCAAGGTTTACTTAATTAGTGGGGCAATGCAAATGTTAGATACAATAGTGTTGGCACTAATTAATGACCGTTCTCCCTGCTATGAACTGTATTTTGGGAACCGATAACGTCCTCTGATAGCAACGGATGAATACATTGGGGGTGCTCCAGAAGCCGTTGTGCATGATTTCCTCCATGGATACGTTGCGCATCCAGGCGATGGAGTGGCTAGCCCGGTGGATGTCGTGGCCCGATGGATTTCCTGGAGAGTCGCCGAAGGAACAAAGGGCGTGAGCCAGCCAGAAGGAGTACCTCCCGGCGTTGAGTGGCTTATGAGACTTGAGCTCCAAGAAGACGTGGTTCCTGTGTTCCCATGAGGTCGTTCGCTTGAGGTATTCTTTCAAGTGGTAAGCAGGGCATAACGCATGTTTCCCACCCAATCTGGGGAAAGAGATGGGTGGTGGACACCTGTCTACTGACTGGTTTTTGTAGATGAAGCCCGGTAGGACTGCGATCGATACGTCGGTGGGTGAGATGGAGCACCCTGATCTAGAAGCGTTAGCTAGCTCTGATGCTCGGTTTCCGGATGCCAGAGCTGTTAAGAAGAGACATTTAATCAGAAGGTCCTCTGTTGTTATGCGCGGAAGGCGGAAGCGTCTAGATTCGAACTGTTTGAAGATAGCATCGAGGGACCAGTCGATGTTTGGTTTGGGAGCGGGAGGATCGGAGAGGAACTGCGATTTCGAGAGCTCTTGGAAATGCTTTTCTACCAAAGTCGCCCTTTAGGGTTTGGGGGAGGAAACTTTCAGACTCCCATGAGAGGTAAAAGAAGCAATCGAGATATTTAAACCAAGGTTTACTTAATTAGTGGGGCAATGCAAATGTTAGATACAATAGTGTTGGCACTAATTAATGACCGTTCTCCCTGCTATGAACTGTATTTTGGGAACCGATAACGTCCTCTGATAGCAACGGATGAATACATTGGGGGTGCTCCAGAAGCCGTTGTGCATGATTTCCTCCATGGATACGTTGCGCATCCAGGCGATGGAGTGGCTAGCCCGGTGGATGTCGTGGCCCGATGGATTTCCTGGAGAGTCGCCGAAGGAACAAAGGGCGTGAGCCAGCCAGAAGGAGTACCTCCCGGCGTTGAGTGGCTTATGAGACTTGAGCTCCAAGAAGACGTGGTTCCTGTGTTCCCATGAGGTCGTTCGCTTGAGGTATTCTTTCAAGTGGTAAGCAGGGCATAACGCATGTTTCCCACCCAATCTGGGGAAAGAGATGGGTGGTGGACACCTGTCTACTGACTGGTTTTTGTAGATGAAGCCCGGTAGGACTGCGATCGATACGTCGGTGGGTGAGATGGAGCACCCTGATCTAGAAGCGTTAGCTAGCTCTGATGCTCGGTTTCCGGATGCCAGAGCTGTTAAGAAGAGACATTTAATCAGAAGGTCCTCTGTTGTTATGCGCGGGAGGCGGAAGCGTCTAGATTCGAACTGTTTGAAGATAGCATCGAGGGACCAGTCGATGTTTGGTTTGGGAGTGGGAGGATCGGAGAGGAACTGCGATTTCGAGAGCTCTTGGAATTCTTCAGCAGTGGTGTTTACTCCGAAGGCCAGGTACAGGGGTTTTCCGAGCGCCGCCTTGATGTTACGTATCGTCATAGCCTTCAGGTGCTTCTCCTCGTAGAGGAAGGTGAGAAACCGTAGAACTGTATCGTGGGTGATGTCAGTTGTTTCTGCGGGGTGCCACTCTTGGAAGCGCTTCCACTGAGATTGGTATTGGCTCGTGGTCGAAGAACGAACGGCCCTGACTAGTCGTTTGGCGGAGAAGGTGGAGAACTTTTCTGAGTACAGTAAGGTTAGAAACTCCACGTGATCCATTTCCCGCACTCTTCTGATGAGACCAAGCCGACGGCTGTCTTCTGGTGGAGGAGAGTTTGGAGAAGAAGCTGTTTCTGCGCTCTCTTGAGGAGGACTGGGTACCATCCGGCTGATGGTCTGTGTGGCGATAGAATGACCCCGTGATGTTAGTAGTCCTGCAGTTTGGGTAGCAACTGGGGTATGAAGTTTGGTGGGGGGAAGATGTACACCCCCTGCCACTGATTCCAGTCGACTGCTAGGACATCCGTTGCCACTGCCCCCGGGTACTCGAAAGCAGACACGTACAGGGGTAGTTTGTTGTTGTGTGGACTGGCCATGAGGTCGACTTGTAGTGGTCCATGCCAGTCCGTGATCTTCTGAAAATTCTCCTGTGGAAGGCCCCACTCCGCCGGGCGTGGGTCCTTCCTGCTGAGGGCGTCCGCGCAGATGTTCAGGTGACTGGGGATTCTGTGCGCGTCTAGTAGGAGTCATCTGCTGTTGCACAATTGGAATAGCACCAAGGCTTCCTGCTGGAGATCTGTGGACTTGCTTCCCATCTTTTTTATGACTGAGCGCACACATTCGTTGCCCGTCATGAGTCGGATCGTCATGTCGTAGACCTCCAATAGCTCCAGTGATCTGACTACTGCCTGGACATCCAGTCGATTGATGTAGAGCAATGACTCCTCTTGACCCCATAATGCACCGGAGTTGAAGTTCTTGCTTGTCTGGAGGCCCCAACCTTCTGGTGAGGCGTCTGTCCAGATTGTGAGGGCTGATGCCTCCTGCTGGAATGGGGCAGTCTTGATGAGTGGTGCAAGGCTGATCCATGTTTCTAAGCCGGTGAGGAGAATCTTCGGGATTGGATGCCTATGGTCTCTTTTGTGAGCTGGGCCTAGTAGTTGGGGTTTCGCGATCAGGAAGTAGTGGTGGCGGTATTCTGGGACGAGCTGAGCCGCGAAGTTCAGGGAGCCCAGAAGACTTTCCCAGCATCGTCTTTAGGCATACCCTCTGTCCCTCAGGTGTAACATGGAGTTGACGATGGAGGAGGCTGAGTCTGTTGGGAGAGACCACCGACCGGCTTGCAGCAGCCAACGGACGCCCAGCCAGATGGTGTCTTGGGTGGGCTCTAGCGCTGACTTCTTCCAGTTGATGAGGAAGCCCAGCGATTGGAGAAGGCGAAGAGCTCTTTGAGTTGACGCGAGAGCCTCTTGGGCGGATGCCCCCCAGATGAGCAAGTCATCTATATATCCGAGCACGTGCACACCCTCCTTCCTGAGCGTCTGCAGGGGTGCATCGAGAAGCTTCGTAAAAATCAGGGGTCAATTGTTGGACGGCTTGCCGGGGTTTGTAGAGGCGGATGGAGCGGTCTTGGCCGCGTTATTGTCGCCAGAGGATTTAGGCTGTTGTCCCCTGAAGGGGTGACGGTTGCCTAGGCCGCCTCTGCTGCTTCTGCTGTTGGAGGAGTTGCCTCCGCGGCCTCTTCCCCTGTGGTAGCTGGTGTCGCCACGGAAACCCTGGCTGTCGTGGCTACGATGACCGTCACGACCTCTGTTGGAAGATCTGTTGCCACGAAAGTGCGCCAATTTGAAATTTTTGGCGGAGGGCCCGTAGGCCCTCCTGGTGTCCGAGGCCGCTCGCTTCTTTGTTGAAATGCGGGGCACCGCAGGTTTGAAGGAGTGACCGTACACTTTCACTTTTTGTGGACTGCATCAATGTGTCCTTGGGGAACAGGGCTGGCCCGATCAGTGGGGCCTTCACTAGATCTGACACCAAGTCGGAGGGCTGCATGCCCTTGGTGACTTCTTCGCGGCATTTAACTTTGTTGGAGTTGACTTTAGAACCCAGTGAGATGAAGGCTGGGGTGAGGTTGGACATGGCCAGGTCAATGATGCCCTGTAGGTGCTTGGCGGTCTGCTTGCCCTCCTTGCGGATAAACTCGGTGGCGTGCTTCGCCATGCCCAACACTTCCATGGTTTTACCGACGGAGTC